GGATAAACAAGATATAACTGGACCTTCTATACAGAAAGGCTTATCCTCCTAATGAAATGAAGTACCTTTTTTTTGAGGACAAATCAAGCTGGCTGAAATGCAGGCAATGGGCACTGCTGATGCTCTTCTCCACCTTGCTCCTTTTCTGTCTTGGAAAACACAGCTGCAGCTATCTCACAGCATCACTGGTCGAGACATTGAGATCTGACATCTCTCATCGCGTATGGGCCACATGGTGTCTGACAGCCACTAGAGAATGGGGTGTTGCATTTCCCATGCAGAGAGGCCTGAAACAATAGGGACAGAGGAGAGGAAAGTCAACCAACTTTCTAGTGCCATCTCCAGCCAGGGGATAAATGACTTTACAGCCTCTGTAGAAAACCTCAAAGCTGGCTGCAAACTTGGCCTGATAAACTGCCACAGGACTCGGGGCCCTCTCGCAGCATACGGCCTCTTTTGTTGCCGTGACAACAAAACTCATTTGGAGATTTCACTTTTTATTTCTTTTTTAATTTAAAAAGAAGGTAAGGGTAAGCTGACTTTAAAGGACCAGGTGTAAGCCTTGTCTAAGCAAGAGTAGGCAACCAATGAGGCAGCACTGAACAACAACATAGAACCAAGATCTACATTCACATTCTTTTTCATTTCATTCACTTTCCCTGCAGATACAGGGGCTACCCAGCTCTTATGCTAGAAAACTGACAGAAAGTCTCTCTCTTACAGGTGAGTGATGTGAGTGCCTATAACACCAAAACAAGCTTTGCTGCACATTTGCTATATCTTGAATATATCTGCAAATCCAAGGCACTACAATAGAAGCTATGACAGCAATTGTTACAAGTTTTTGAAGGTTTTCTTTAGATTTTATTCACTTGTTGCTACCTTTCAATAAAGGGAGAGAACATAATATTAAAAGCAGATTACAGTGAGTCCAGTTCTACACAACAGTTCTACTTTCTCCCTCTGTCCCCCTTTCCCCAAAAAACGTTTCAGCCTGAAGGGGAAAGTGGCTGTAAACAGAAATGTAAGCAAGCTACCTATTTTCCTCGTATAGGATGAGAAAAGAACCCAAAGATAAACAAGTAGCATGACTTTTGAAAGGTAAACTCTCTATTTTAACCACCTCTGGTAAAGTTTAATTATCAGCCAAACACAATTTACATTATTTTTCAAATATGATTTCTAGGCTTGTAGGCTACTTCAAAAATAAGAAGACGTCAGCTAATTAGCATTCAGCAGAAGCCAGGAACTATGGGACCAAGTATTGCAGATACAGACCATACCTGAAAAAAAAACAAATATGCTGAATATTCCCTACTTCCATGCAACACCTGGCAGGTTTTTACAAGCTGCTTTCATTTAAATAACTTTTATCCTTCTGGAAATCTTACTGCGAGGGCTTAATGAGATCTTGAAAGAAAGAGATGCATGCAAATAAACTATAGAATGCCTCCCAGAACTTGGCAACGTTTCAAAGATGAGTCATGCATTATAGCTGTGTGAATTTGGGCTTTGTGTTGGTGCTTTGTGTTAGTGCTAGTGCTGGATCCTACCTACTTAGATTTAAATCAAGGGGATAGAGCTCAGACTTATAAAGGATAATGTATGGAAAAATACACACAGATATATCAAAGGGAGACTGTTCCTATTGGTCAGGAGACCAAATGTTGAGAGAACAACTAGACTTCGCATCCAAATGGGAAAATCAGGAATAGGTAAAGCAAGAGATGATGAGTAACATCCCAATCCATCAAAAAAAAAAAACAGTGAGAGTGCAAGGAAACAGTGAGAAAACTTGGAGGAAGGAAGAAGTTAACTGGGGCTAGATAGCTGCTGGACTTTGGATCTGCCTCACCAAGGCCTTAAGAAGGAGATAAGTGGGAAAGTCATCAACATTTTTGTTCCCCAAGACCATATGGGTTCATGTTACAGCCACCTCTTCCCTGTGTGGACGTGGCCTCCCGTAGCACCCTACCAGGCCCAGTTTACCCTTCTTGCTTCTCCAGTATTCATGCAGCGACTGAATACCCTCCTCTGATCTGGGGGAGAAACACCGGAAGGCAGTAGACACAATAGGAACAAATATGGATCAACTGAGGACAACAACAGAGAAAATGGGATCCAAAGCAGGGTCACAGCCACATGTCTGTTCTGCTAAAGTAATCCTCAAGTCTGAAGCCAAGATAGTTCAACACTATTCCCTCCTGTCCTCCACCACTTACTGGTATTGACTTACTAGTACATGATGGGGTATGCAGGCAAGATCACCACATGTCGACAAGGTAATACAGGACAAATAACTAATGCAAAAGTTGCAGCATGGATGGTAGCCCACACTATAAAGATTAGCTGAAGCTCTGGAAGGCAATCTGAGCAACTGCCTTTGATGTGCCATCTGGTGAATCATTTACTGGGAATGTCTTAATCACATCAAAGGCATCTATCAACGCGCACACATTTTCTCGGTGTTTAGTAGGACTATGCCTGTGCATTTCACTCACAGAACACAGAATTAAACTTTAGAGCACTGCGTTCTCCCATAACAATAAAAATCTGCACTATATTATCACTATAGCCTCAAGCACAACGTTGCAGAAGAGCAGTGATTCACTGTGACCTCAAAAAGGCCATAACTCTAAAATCAGCCTTGTTCCTGTTCTCTAAAATTTGTAAAAATAGATATGTATCAGTGCTGGGAAAAAATACCTGGACTTGAAAGCATATCTACCTATTGAAGGGGCTCTGATACCAATCTATCACTTCTTCATTCTCAAAATGGAAATCCCATTAGGGCATCACTCCCTTACTTTGTGACACCAGCTTAGGGCCATATTTACAATCGCAGATCTTTCTGGCTACTTGACGCAGTTTTAAAAAGGGCCATACGCAACTGCAGGGATGTAAGTGCCTTTTTATGTAATCACTACGATGTACAGCCCTCCAACATAAAAGAAGCTACCGTAGACATTTTAGGCTCCCCCAGCATATCAGTCTATGAGAAGGTAAATGGCACTGACATATGGGTCAGCAGGGGCTGTTGGGGCTCTCTGCTCTCCCAGGCCCTGTTTCTCTAAAGACTTTACATATTGTTCATACCAATGCTATTGCGGGATCCTAGAGTTCTTAGAAACCTTCTTTCTTTCCTCTTTCCTGCCTAAAATAAGTCATGGCCAGGTAATTCACTTGTGTCGCTTCTGTCTTGCAGTGGTCAAGGTGGCTTTAGTTCTGCCATCCTTTGGCACGTGCCCAAGGAACCACATGTGGCTGGCAGCACTTTTATGGCCCAGCCACAGGCAGAGCACAGCACCTAGCTCAAACACTAACTGCTCTAGCACGTGAGCTGGGAGAAAAACCCCGCTCCCTGGCTCAGGGCGTAACCAAGCACATCTTTGGCTCCTTTTCCTCCACTTCTCCCAACCTGAGGCTTTTCATAGGCTTCGTTCTGAACGCGTCAGGTGCACTTGGGTGCTCTGCACGGCCCAGTCCCTGCTCACTGCCCGCACCTGCGGGGGCTGCTCGGAGCTCCCGGAGCCCTCGCTCCTCTGCCCGCCCGCACGGCCGTGCCCGGCCCGGCCCCCGTGCCGCTCCTCCGCAGGCCGGCACTCCGGCGGCGGCACCCCGGCCTCATTTACGGCTCTG